TGAGGAAAAAATGGAGCGTGAGATCAATAGGTGGATAGGTGCATCGTCTGCAGTGAAGCGGGCGCTGTACAGGTCTGTCGTGGTGAAGAGAGAGCTGAGTCAAAAGGCGAAGCTCTCAATTTATCTTTTGATCTATGTTCCTACCCTCATCTATGGTCATGAACTTTGGGTTGTGACCGAAAGAACGAGATCTCGGATACAAGCGGCCAAAATGAGTTTTCTCCACAGGGTGTCTGGGTTCTCCCTTAGAGATAAGGTGAGAAGCTCGATCATCCGGGAGAGATTCAGAGTAGAGCCGCTGCTTCTCCACGTCGAGAGGAGCCAGTTGAGGTGGCTCGGGCATCTGTTTAGGATGCCTTCTGGACGCCTCCCTGGTGAGGTGTTTCAGACACGTCCAACCGGAAGGAGGCCCAGAGGAAGACCCAGGACACGCTGGAGGGACTATGTTTCTCGGCTGGCCTGGGAACACCTCGGGATTCCCCCGGAGGAGCTGGACCAAGTGGCTGGGGAGAGGGAAGTCTGGGCCTCCCTACTTAGGCTGCTACCCCTGTGAACCGAACCCCGGATAAGCGGAAGAAAATGGATGGATTGATGGATGGATAGTTATTTAATTGTGGGTTTTGTTAGTTTAATAGTTTAATGGTTTTGTTTGACGAGGGTTTGGCCGTCAGGTTCACCTGGCTGGCCGGCATCTAGACGCCATGGTGGAAGGCACTGGGAGCTTCTCCATGCTGACACGTAAGAATGGCATCAAGGCCAATCTATTTATTTTACGGCCAATCGCAAAACTCTGCATTTTAGCCAAGGTTCTAGAAAAACTGATAAACTCTCAAATCAAAAATTACCTGGAATCATTTAACATCTTACCTCCCCATCAATCTAGTTTCAGGAAACAACACAGCACAAAGACTGCTTCACTGAAGGCTCTTAATGACATTGTTGAAGCACTGGATGCTAAGGATTATTGTGCTGCACTTTTCTTAGACCTGTCTAAAGCTTTTGACACGGTGGATAATAACATATTTTGTCATAAGCTCTCAGAAATCAGTTTCTCAGATCACACCATTGGTTGGTTCTCTAACTATCTCTCAGACGGGAGGCAAAGTGTTCAACATAATGGTACTTCCTCCAGTTATTTAACAGTCAACAATGGTGTACCACAAGGCTCAGTCTTAGGACCCACCCTCTTTACAATCTACATACATAATGTAGGTAAAAACATCCCTGATGCATCCATACTTTTCTATGCTAATGACACAGTTGTTTATTGTTGAGCTAAAACTGTTGATAAGGCTTTCCAGCTTTTGAAATCTGCATTCAACTACATCCAGACAGGATGCTTTTTTCAAATAGGAAGTTGGTCCCAGCAGTTCTTCCTCTGATATCATACTCAAATGGTGTCCCCATTGAGTTTGTTGATTCCTATAAATATTTGGGTATCTTGGTCGACTCGCATCTCTCTTTTAAGCGCCATGTGGAAAACTTGATAAAGAAACTGAAAGTTAAACTGGGTTTCTTTTTCAGAAACAGATCCTGTCTAACCCTGAATGCTAGGAAACGCCTTGTATCTGTGACTTTCCTTCCCTTCATTGATTACGGTGACATTATTTACATGAACGCTCCTACAAGAACCCTGCAGTTGTTGGATGCTGTCTATCATGGTGCACCAAGATTCATAACTGGCTGTGATTATCGTACCCACCACTGCACCCTGTATTCATTGGTTAACTGGACATCATTAACTTCACACAGACTCTCTCACTGGTACATTTTCATCTTTAAATCACTTTTTGGTTTGCTGCCTTCATACATCTCCTCCTTCATGTCTCTGCGTGAGTGCAGCTACAGCGTGCGCTCTCAGGACATTATTACCTGCAGTGTTCCCTCAGTGCGGACTGAACTAGGCAAAAGGGCCTTCTCCTACTCTGCTCCTGTTTCTTGGAATATCTTACAAAAAGATGTGAAGCTCTCGACCTTGACCTCTCTAAGTGGCTTTAAGAATCTGTTGGACTCCTGGCAGGGACCAATGCAGACATGTTCCTGTTTTTAGTTTTTTTACATTCGCCTTAGAATCTAGCTGTTTTTTTTGTTACTTTTCTTTTCTTTTTACTTTTCTTTTTTTTTTTTAGCCTTCCTATTTGTAAAAAAAAAAAAAAGGATGACTTTTTACAACTGTTTATTGTTGTTACTGTTGTCCATTGTTGTCATCATCCATCCATCCATTATCTTTACCCGCTTATTCCATTTTGGATCACGGGGGTCGCTGGTGCCCATGTCCAGCAATCACTGTGCAAGGGGCGGGGTACACCCTGGACGGGTCGCAAGTCCATCACAGGGCCACATAGAGACAAATGAGACAAACAACCATTCACTCTCTCACTCACACCTAGGGACAATTTTAGAGTTACCAATCAGCCTAACATGCATGTTTTTGGTCAGTGGGAGGAAACCAGAGTACTCGGGGAAAACCCACGCATGCACGGAGAGAACATGCAAACTCCACCCAGAAAGGCCCCTGGACCGGGGTTTGAACCAAGGACCTGCTCGCTGAGAGGCATCAGCAATGTTGCCAGGTGTACGATAATTATCGTATTTGTACGACAATTTTGCCCTCTGTACGATCAATAATCCCAAAAAAGGACAAATATACGATAATTTGACCATTCCATGAATGTGTGGTTGTAATCGATTGTCATCAGCCTCTCGCAACTGTCTGTCGGAGATTCTTTGTGAACCCTGAAGGCATCTGTGTCCACAAACAGATGCACGATTGCCTGGAAATTCCAGCCAATCGTGCTTTTCTAAATGTTACCTACGAGTGACGTGTTTGCGTTTGCCTCAGAACAACAGCCATGATTGGCTGAATAGTCCGCTGCGCCCGCTCCATGAGGTAAGAAAAGAAAAGGAGAAGAAGCAGAGCCGATCTGGAAGCGGACCCATCACTACTATAGTGCATAAATAGATGTGTTCTTTTGATTATGACGGGTGTATGATAATTTCCCTCAAAATACAATAATTTTATGTCTCTAATACGATAATTTTACATTTCTCACCTGGCAACACTGGGCAGCAGCTCTACCAGTTGTGCCACTGTGCTGCCCCTGTTGTCATCATTCTTTGATGAAATCAGGTCTCTTGTAATTGAGTCCTCAAGGCTCAATGGGATTTACCTGTCTAAATAAAGGTTGAATGAATGAATGAAAATAAAACAAAAGTAGCTAAATGGTAAGCTGAAGCTAAATGAGGCAGAACAGTAGTTAAAAGAAGCAGAAGGATAGCTAAAGGCTAAAAGTAGCATAATGGTAGCTAAATATATTGAATTGCAAAATGGTGAACAAAAGCTTAAAGTGCAAAATACAGTAGTTATAAGTTAATGAGGCAGAACAACAACTAAGTTACTTAAGAAGACAAAAATAGAGCTAAAATGCTAAAGGTTTTTTAAACCGAACAATGTTTTTGTAGTACAGTAATTGAAGAGATCCAATTTCTATAGGGAATTTTATTTGAAATAAAGTAGAATAAATAAATAAATTCAAGTACAAGAATTAGAAAAAACAAGTCATAGCACACTGTCCACTCCAAATACATTTTTCCAGAGGGACAGTAATTTTAACTTGAGTAATTTTGCAGTAAATAGCATGTTTAATATTTTTCCTGAATGCCACATTGGTGCAGCTTTATCTTTTTTTTTTATCAGTTCACCTATTTTCCATAATGTGCAGAACAACCAGCAGCAGATGGAGGCATGGAGCAGAGTGGGCTGGACTCACTTCAGTTCCATCTCTTCAAAAGTTTCCCTTCTCCTTGTTTCTTGTAACCACAAAATGACAGATTATGCTTCTGAAAGATGGGATTGACATTTAAATCTAATTTAGCACCTAAAAAAACACTTAGTTTTGTAAACCAAAAATGTTGATCTTCCGTTTTTGTCACGTGGTACCAAAGCTCGATCTTTCATTGGTTGATTCAAACGAAACAAGTTCCGGTCCTTTTGATGACGTTAAAAACGTAGAAGTTAGATCCTCTGACCTATAAAGGTTTTAGATATTATAACAATTGTTTTTAACATCGTTCCCGTTTTAAAATTAAAACAAGAGTATATGAGGATGTTATTAAATGTGTTCTTTTCATTTTTTAATGTGATGGTTAGGAGCATATTTGGCTACTCGGCGGAGTGATCCATAGCACGGCTCTTAGCGTAAGTGTGGAGGGGGATTTGAAATTCTCTTTCTGCTTCAGTTGTTTTTAACATTAGTTTTGTATTTTATTTGAACGTATGTGCAAATATAAGTCGCTTTTTTAATCGCTTTTACACACGTTTTAACCTAAATATAAAAGGTAAGACTAAGACTTGTTTTCATTTACCTATTTTTAACACTTGTTAGCTAACCTCTGGGGTTGGGAATCAATAACCAAGAGCCATTTTTTTTTTAAATCAACGGCTATGCCTATGATGAATCATTTTTCTTAGTTTCTCGACAGTAATTAATTGCATGCCGACATTTTCCCGTAGCTACCACAGTAACATCGTGTTAGTAAAACATTAGAACTCCTTAACATACTGACTGTTTAACTTCTGCTAGCCTCTCGTGTTTTGTTAGCATTCTGCTAACTTTGGACCGCGCTGTCGCTCGCACCACATGTATGTAGTAAAACGAAAGTGTGTACACAGGGTCCCAGTTACGTTCAGCAAAGTATATATTGTAAAGAAAAACCAGTAATAAGATATGAACAAAGAAATGCATTAAGCACTATTGATTGTACCATTGGTAATAGTACAAAAACAACACGGCGAACAGCAGCACGAACATGAGTCTGTGTGAGCAGATGAGAACTAATGAATGAATGTCCTGTTTCTTTGGACTTTTAAGATGCTGTGTACAATTGTTAAATTACTTTTGTTTAAAAGCCACAGTCTTTAGAACAAATACTCTGCAACTCCCTCTTTGGTTCACGTGCTTTTTAAACTATTTGTCACATTATTGTTTATTTCGAGACAGATGGCTGCTGTCGAGCCCATCGCCCCTGGCCCTGAAGATCAGGAGGAGAAAATGTCCCAGTCAGAAGATTGTGTATTAAATGAAACCTCAGTATACCTTAATTTTTCTGAGCTCACCCCAAGTCAGTTTGGCATCTCCATCAAAAGTTTTACCCCATCATCAACATGTAAAGGTAAGAAGTAGGGGTGCGCCGACTGCAGGTTTCTGGCCGATCACCGATCTCTAAAAAGTCTGACCTGCCGATTCTGATTTTGTTTTTATAAGCGACACTGTCAGGTGTTATAAGGTCACAATGCACCTTCAATTTTCCAATCTTATTTTATTGAAAAACATACTTGGGGAGTGGTGGCGCAGAGGTTAGAGAGGTGGGCCTGTGATCCGAAGATCGCCGGTTCATGCCCCGGCCCCGACAACATCAAAATTGTGGGTGGGGTAGGTGAAACACTCACACTTGCCCCCACCCTCATTCGCCCCACTCTGGGCCCATGAGCAAGGCCCTTAACCCCACCATGTGCTCCCTAAACAGGTCTCTCTTGAAAATGAGTTATCTTGGCTCAATGAGACTAACCTGGATAAATAAAGGCTAAAAAAAAAAAAAAAAAAATACTCTTGAACAATATCCTAGAACAATAGAAACTTGTTTTAACTGGCCATGAGGTAGTGGTCTGAAATATAAATGAAGTTAGACAATTGTTAAAACTGCAAAAAAGAGTATGAAAAACCACATATGAATTAATAAATTATGTTTGCTATATACATACTATAATGCTTGGAAGTAGTTGTGATAGTTGTAACTCACTGCCATATCATCAAAAGCACAAACATTGTCACTTTTATGAGGTCACTTACCGGTAGTTAATTTCGTCCATCCATTATCACATAAAAAGGTTAAATGATGTCATCTGGACAAGTTTCTTTAGGGAGAAACATTTCATCTTTCATCCAAAAGACTTCATCAGTCTTAGGCCTGCCAATCCACATCTGTTCCATAAATTCAGTTCAATTTATTTATATAGCGCCAAGTCACAACAGAAGTCATCTCAGGGGACTGAACAGAAACATTCATTTTATTAAAAGTAAGTTAATAACATTATTTATCTGAGGAGCAGACTGCTTTGAGTTTAACTCCATTACATACTCTCATCTTGAGCAAGAATGAAGGCGACAGTGGAACGGAACAACTCCCTCATGAGGAAGAAACCTTTAACAGAACCAGGCTCAGGACAAATGGTCATCTGCTTCAACCAGCTGGGTTTAAGAGGAACAGATACACAATGGCAGGTCAAGAATCACGTTAAGATAGAAATAGTATCAAATGAAAACTATTCAATTGTAACACAAAGTTTGTTTTCTCAGTCATCCAGGTATATAACAACAAAAAAGGTTGAATCATGTCATCTGGACTTCGTTTTTTTGTTAAAAAGAAACGTTTCGCCCCTCATCCAAGAGGCTTCGTCAGTCTGAGGCCTAGCCATCGAAGTCCAGATGACATGATTCAACCTTTTTTGTTGTTATATACCTGGATGACTGAGAAAACAAACTTTGTGTTTTTGAAACCATTAGTGAAAAGGCCAGACTTCAGGGGTATCTGAGGCAGGCTTGAAACACAAGAGTCAGGGTGGCTTCTGGGTAATACCAGATGGCTAGGCCTCAGACTGACGAAGCCTCTTGGATGAGGGGCGAAACGTTTCTTTTTT